GATTGTCAAGAAGAAAGACGGTTCACCGCGCGTATGCATTGATTATCGCGAATTGAACAAGAAGATTGTGCCCGATCGATATCCGATGCCAAGAATTGAGGATCAGTTGGATTGCTTGCCCAAAGCGCGTGTTTATTCCACCCTTGATTTGAAGAACTCGTACTTTCATGTGCCAGTCGCCGAAAAGAGTAGGAAGTATACCTCTTTTGTAACACATGACGCGCAGTACGAATTCATGAAGTCGCCATTTGGATTAAATCTCAGTGGAAAAAGCTTTGGACGATTCATCAACGCCGCATTGCGGAATTTGATGAGAGACGGAACGGTGTTGGCATTCGTGGATGACTTGATCGTGCCGGCGAGTGACGAAGAAGAGGGAATTCAAAAGTTGAAACGTGTTCTTGAGGTAGCAGCAGAAAATGGTCTCGTATTCAATTGGAAGAAGTGCGCTTTTCTGCAAAGGAAAGTCGAGTACCTTGGATATGTGATCAGCGAGGGAAAAATTCATTCGACGGAGTTGAAAGTGAGAGATTTGTTGAAATATCCAGTGCCCAAGACGACGAAGCAAGTCCATCGATTCTATGGATTGGCACAGTATTTCCGCAAGTTCATCGAGAACTTTTCCATGATCGCAAAGCCGCTGAGTAACCTGCTGAAGACGGGAGTTGATTTTGAATTCGGTGACGAACAGATGGCCGCGTTTAAGATGTTGAAGGATTTGATGGCTACTTATCCTGTGTTGAAGATCTATGATCCTGATGATGAAACGGAGGTCCACACTGACGCTTGCCAGACGGGAATTGCGGGTATCTTGATGCAAAAAGGCGATGACGGGAAGATGCATCCGTGCTACTATCATAGCAGGAACACCAACGAGGCCGAGCAGAAGTATCACTCGTATTACCTCGAATTCCTCGCCGCCGCGGACTCAGTAGAGAAGTTTAGCGTCTATTTGAAAGGGGTGAGATTTAAGTTGGTGACTGATTGTGCCGCGTTTATGATGACGATGTCCAAGAAGCAGTTGAATCCGAAGATTGCGAGGTTGGCGCTTGAGTTGCAAGAGTACGATTTTGCTGTTGAACATCGTGCAGGTAGTCGAATGGCGCATGTTGATGCTTTGTCGAGGGCGACAGTGATGGTGATTAAGAAGAGAGTAGATGACGTGACTTCGAAGGTGAAAGCTGCGCAAAATCAGGACGAGAGGATTAAGGCGATAAAAACAGCCTTGTCGCGTGGGCCGTATGAGAACTTTCTGTGCTGCAATGAAGTCTTATACGTGGAGGGCGATGGCAAAAAGAAATTAGTGATTCCTAGCGCCATGGAGTTTGAGATTTTGAGCGATGCGCATTCACGAGGACATTTCGGTGTCAAGAAGACCAAAGAGCTGATTAATGACGAGTACTATATCCAGAACGTTGACGATAAGATTCGCAGGTGCATCGACAATTGCATTCCTTGCATATTGGCGGAGCGAAAGAGTGGGAAACGTGAGGGTGAGCTCCACCCTATTCCCAAGGGAGATCAGCCTTTCGAGACGTTGCACATTGACCACCTTGGTCCAATGCCATCGACGAGGAAATGTTATAACTACATATTGACGGTGGTGGATGGCTTTTCCAAGTTTGTTTGGTTGTTTCCCGTTAAGTCGACGACGGCCGATGAGACTTTAAAGAAGTTGCAAACGATTTCTGACGTATTTGGTGATCCGAAGAGGATCGTGGCTGATAGAGGAAGTGCGTTCACCTCGAATGTTTTCAAGAAACATTGTGAGGAGAGAGATATTGAGTTGCATCATGTGGCGACAGGCGTGCCACGAGGGAATGGACAAGTTGAGAGGATCCACAGGATAATTATACCGACTTTGACGAAGATGTCCGTGGATAAGCCTGAAGAATGGTTTAAACACGTGGGAAAAGTCCAGCAGTACATCAACTCATCACATCAGAGATCAATTGAGAGTACGCCGTGTGAAGTGTTGATTGGAGTGAAGATGAAACATCCTGAGGACAAAAAGATTGTTGAGATTCTTGAGGAAGAGCAGAAGGCTCAATTTGGCGAACAGCGCGATGTGCTGAGGAAGCAAGCTCGACTTAGTATCGAGAAGGTCCAGGAGAAAAGTCGTAAGGCTTACAATCTGAGAAGCCGACCAGCTCGGAAGTACCAGGAAGGAGATTTGGTAGCTCTGAAGAAGACGCAGTTCGAGACGGGCGCCAAGGTGAAGCCGAAATTCATCGGACCATATAGGATTGTGGAGATTTTGCCGAACGATCGATACAAGGTGAAAAAGTCAGGAGATTTCGATGGGTCGGAGACGACGTATGGAGCGGCGGACATCTTGAAGCCGTGGCCAGGAAGTGTGCATTCGGGACGAATGCAAGGCCAGGAATGGCCGTGTGGAGAAGGTTGAGAGAAGTAGTGTAGAGGGCGCCCTAGTAGAGTAAGATTTAAGGAGACCGTCGCGAGGAGGAGGAGAAATTTAGTAATACCGCGACACCAAAACTGAACAGACGCAATTATAATTGGTAAGCCACACTGATATACTTTCCCCTGATCTATTCCCATTCTTACATAAAATATGAATGAGAAGAAAAACTTTTAAATGTCGTGAACAATTTAAATTATTGCTCTCTCAATTTGTCACTGTTAAATTATAATTAAAAATAAATACTTTATGAAGTCAAGAAGGTTTTTTTTTTTTTCTTCATTATCAGCAACTTCACACTTTTCTCCGAGTGTACTTTTGACTGTGCGATTTTTAAGTTCACTGTTCGTGGGAGAAAGATGCCAGCAAAAGAACAATCTCATGAACACCTCATAAAATTGAACCGGCATAATTACATACAATGCCCAGCATTACTGCTTAATAAAGCTGCAGTGGAAAAAATGCTAATTTGCCCAATAAAACTTTCGAAAAGTCATAATGTTGGGCATGTGAATTTGCTACCCGAAATTCAACCAACAATTACGTTGCAAATATCGATCAGTTCAATCTCTTTTTTGGCTTAATTATGTCAATGCTGACGCTAAAGTGTTACTCAATTGAGCGCATTTTATAGGTTTTTAATTATTCCACCCGTTCATAAAGTCCCCATTATGCAAGATATTTGCGAGGGTGAAGTTGGAATTCCTCGCGGCTCTTCCGCGTTTGGCATTTGACGCGATTTGGCGTGTCGCGGAGTGACACGGACGTGAAACTTGTCAAAAGAGATCGCCAGAGCGAAGGGAAAACCATGCACAGAAGAGTGTGTATTTCCTCCATCGCCGGGCAGCACAATTTCGTAATGATCTCGAATTACACCATCTCCGAAGAATCATGTAAGACAAATTATGCTGGAGCCAAAACAAAGAGACACCGGGGAATGTGTAGTAAAATCAAATTTTGATTACACTCCAATGGTGAATCCGTCTTTTTTTTTGCCCCCCTCGCGATCACTCCGCGGACCAAATCGAGTGAGATTTATTAGATGAGTGTGCAATTGATTGATTTTTTTTTGATTCCCTCCTCAAACCTAATCTCACCGCACGAAATCTCATGAACAATTCCACGGAGGCTTCATTTTCCCACACACACGCGAGCGCACGCAAAAGGGCATCTTCCCCATCATCCATATAGCATAAAACATGATGTCCGGCAATTTCATCGCGCGCGGATTCCCAAAAATCTTGTCGTCAATTACAATTCGTGACTCGCGATCATCTCGACGCGCTCGCCAAGGCGCCGCGGCTTTTGTGAGATTGGAAAAAATAAGGCAAATAATCATTAAAGAATTTTATGTACACCTCCATTGTGGCGGATTTGCCGACGTTGATGGGAAAAAAAGTGGCGACATTGAATCGCAACAATATTATAACTACGAGATTATGCTAAATAATTACATCCAGAAGACTTACACACATTTTTATGCCTCTTCCGAAAGTGATTGTAATTGCAGCTTTTGTGGAGATGAGCAAAACGCCACAGTTGATGCCCTCCGAAAGGTCTTCGCAATGAAAGCTTCTTGGTTCCACTGTTTGGCAGCATTGTTGATTTATTGTGCTGGGGGCGATGTTAGTTGATTGAGTAGAATGCGTGAGGTAAGAAACAGGTGAGAAGATGGACAATTCAGTCTTTTAGAGAGAACTTGCAGCCAAAATAATGCCATAATAATAAATTACTTTCAAATTTTCAACTCATTCACTGCGAATCGTGTTAAGATTCACCATCAAGTGATTAACCAAGGGGGAGATAGTACGGCTAAACTGTGTACACCACTTCCTAACACTTCCAAAGCTTTGACAGTGCTTAAAATATGTGTTTTCTTTACTTTCTTATCCTTTTTGATTTATTATGTGTAAAGTAATTAAATTTCTCATATTTCTCAAGCATTTTTCACTACGATTGCATCAAGATTTGAGAACAGATTTTCAGAATCGCATTTTCACAGAAATTGAAGTTCAAACAGTTCAAATTGAAAATTAAGTGCCTTGAAAGAGCGCAAAAACTTCCCTTGGTTGAACAACTATAAAAATTTATCGTTCTATTTGGCAATTTTTAAGTCGTCCATTTGAAATACGACTTTGGAAATCTGTACTTAAGTCTTCAAAACACATTAAAAAGTTCTACTTCTGCTTATCCCACAACATTGCGTTCTTCGAAAGGGTTTCAAAGATTCGAGAGACCTTTTAAAAGATGGTCAAGATCATCGGAATTGGTGAAAAATTGCAACTTTGGCGGCGGATTAAAGATTTTCCCACCTTCTTTCGGTGGAAAGAAGAGTTGAGGAGATCTAGAAGAGTGTCAAGAAATTGCGCCAGCGCTTCTCAACTCCAAATTCTGCCACACGTCGAGAGAGATGACTCTCTCAAACTCCCTCCAAATGCGATCCCCACCATCGAGAGCGCAGCCATGGAGACTCCGGGACGCTGGCTCTCTTCGGAGAAGCCCACCTTTCACGGAAGACCCGCTCACGGGCGCGACGGTATAAAAGGCGGGCGGCCGTGCAGAATCCTTTATTCACACAAAACCTCCCGCCGAGGCAGTTTCAATTCACCCGTGTGTCGTTCTTGTGACTCGTGAGTGCATCTTTCAAAGGGATTAAACGGACTTTAGTGCGTGCGACAGAATGCTGAGATACGTTGTAAGTGACGCAACCTTGACCGCAATGGTCAAATTTGCCATTTATAGGAGGATTCGAGCAATTGGACAATTGATTGTTTCATGATTTAGAGGGCAAATCATCCAATTGACATTGCATTGTGATGATCGCAATTATGCCCAATTTCCCGTACCTGTGCTGCCGATGAGACCCTCAAATCATCAATCTGACGAAGCCTTATTAATGATTCATAGAAGAGCACACTCGTTATCCAATTAGCACTTCACAAACACATCTCATTATCCTTGAGCAGATGCCAATGCGAGATTTATTGGAACAAACAATGCTGTGAAGCATTAAAATGTGTCTCATCACAAATCAATTCAGTGAATCTAACAACTGACGAGCTATGAAGGATATTAATTAAAATTGTGACCCTTTCATTTTCCACTTAGCAATAATTCCCAACTGATTGATTTGATTGCTGTGCCGATTGGTTCCAGCACAATATTGTCTTGCAAGGCATAAATCAATGCGCGAAAAGCACACTGAGATGTTGAGACAAAAGGTCCATTGCGAGAGCAAATGAACTCAATGTTCCATTTCGCCACTCAATTCCCATTTAATGATGCACAAAGGTCAGCCGGATTGCATGCACTCGTCAAATACCACCTCAAAAGACGCGATGAGTGAGCAAGAACCCATTGATATCCGCTTGCGAGGCTCCTTTTAATTGCACTTTGCATCTCAATTCACATAACTCGCCGTTTTTTTTTTCGAGACGCCGCGTGACACGATTTGTTGTCACATTGCATTTAAAATACATCGCGCGGCAATCGCCATGTGAAATAGAAGAGGAGTTCACCTGCTCTACCATGCGATCGAGTGGACTTTGTAAGGCATAAAATATGTGATTCTTCGCCTGGGAGATTGCTGAAATACCACACAACAAGTGGAGTCACTTTCTGTACATCTTCCAATGTTGTGTCTTGCTTTGTTCAAGAACATAATCAGCAGCAAAAATTTGTTATACAATCTCAATTTGGACTCCCCATGTGTAATCAATAACTTTTCCCTCACCTTTCTATCCTCATCTCATGACTCACTCTCTTTTCTGCGCCCCGCGAAGCCACGAAGGCGCAGAATTAAGAAATAGAGACGCTCCGCGTCGTCAGCGTCGATCAATCTCGTGGGATGCGCGCGAGATGTTTATGAGCCACTGTTGGGGACAATGCTCAATAATCTGTCGCAATGTGTGTCGAGTGGCATCCGATAAGGATGCCACATAAAGTTGTAATTTATTGTGATAATGGAGCATCATAATTAATCGTTGGGCAATCTCAATTGCCATACAATCATAAATCGCACAGTGGAGACGCCTGGTGGTGGTGAATAGTCGAGACACTCGAGAAAGACTCTGAATTTGCGGGGGAAAAGGCAAGGGGAAAGTCACTGGCAAGTTGAGATTATTATAGCTTTGTGATTATTCAATAATTCTTTTTGATTATCCGAGATTCTTATTGAAATTTTGATTTTTCATTCAAAATTCAAAATTTAATCAAAATTTTTAATATAATTGAATAATTGTGAATATTGGGAATTTTCATTGATTGGAAATAATCTTCTTTTTTATTATTAAATTCAGAATTTGACTAACTTTGATAATTTTGTAATTTTATTTGGGAAAATATTTTTTTTTATTATTTAATTTAGAATTAGATTTTTTTTTTAATTCTTTTTACAATTTCACTTGGCAAAGTAATAATTTTTTGATTATTTTACTCAAATAATTGATTATTTGATTAAAGAAGATTGCGTTTCCTCAAAAATCATCTTGTGATTTGCCCCTTGGGGGAAAAGACCGTGATGTGACGCTGTTGCGGGAGCAAAATGGGCCATTTTGCACAGATAAATCACGGGTCTCATTGTGTGCAAAATATGCGCGGTGTTTGCCAATTTGTCTCATGCACTCCTTCTGATCTCCCTCTTTTTCTGCAGTGCCTTCTCGTGTGCGTTGCCAATGCCTTTGGCGATATTGGCGCCGGTCGGAATCAGTACTTGCCACCGGAGAAAGGCTACAACTACGACAAGCCCAACTTGCCCTTCCCATCTGGACAGAATCCCACGCAGGTGCCCTTCCCACGACCTCCGCCACAGCCTCAGCAGCCCCGTCCGCCGGCACCTCCGCGGCCATACCAGCCGCCAGCCGAAGACGTAAGCACTCGACTTTGGCATTTGATGTGATCGAGACGCAAAACTTGATCTTCTTGCACTCTTTGCAGCACCACCATCACGAGCCCGGCATGCCCTTCGAGTTCGCCTATTCCGTGAACGACGCCCCCACCCAGAACGACTACTCACACAAGGCCGTGAGCGACGGCGACGTGACACGAGGCGAATACCGCACAGCGATGCCCGACGGCCGCGTGCAGGTCGTGCGTTACACGGCAGACTGGAAGAACGGCTACAACGCCGAAGTCACGTACGAGGGCACGCCGACCTACCCTTCGGGCCCCTACGGACAGGCGAGCAACGACCAGGGCTACAGATACTAGGTAGAATAGGCGCTAATGTGAGATGGAGCAAGTATTACTGAATGGAGCCACCCTTGATGGCTCTGAAGCTCTCTATACAATGTACAGAATCAATTCTATTTCATAATTACGTGTAATTTATAGTAATTTACATTCTGAAGTAATAAATGACGATTTCATTGGAATGCGTGTGCTTCAGTGTCTTAAGATCGCCGCATCTCTTAATAGCTGTGAAGATCATAAACAAAGCAGTTTGCTACTTCACTTTATACGCTTTGTCAAGACAAACGAGTCTTCGACAATCCGCCAAATGACATTCTAATGCGTGCGCATAATAAACAGAATGACACTTTATGATCGGAAATTTGAGAGATTCACTTGAAATAGAACTTCTCGCATTAATAAGCCTTGCAATAAATCATCACAAGCGACTTTAAGTGTGTTTCACTTGAATTATCACCTTGAAATTCATCATCATGTGATCTCAATCATTCAGAGATGAGGAAAAGTCGTTTCCCAGATCATAAATTTCTGCTCATGAATCTTGAACATCTCTTCGTTTCACACAAAAAAAACGTTAAGTAAGTACTGGAAAATATGGTGAGTAAAAACCTTCGTTCATTAGAGAAGATTTGTTTGCCGACCAAACAAAGGTGATTCTAAAATCCATATTTATATATGAACAGATCGCGAAAGACAATTCCACTGAAGTGTATGTTTCAGCTGGAACATTCAACAACAACCGAAATTATCGAAGTTCGAACATTTGCAATCGCTGGAATTCGAACACACGAGCGTTAAGAGTCAATCGCATTGATCACTGAGCCTCAGTTGCCCATTTAATCCATTTAAAACACATTTTAGACATTTTTTATGACCATAACCTCAAAATATAACAAAAACTTCCTTTGGGAGATTTCTAGATCACAAAATGATCCGATTGATTTGGAAATGACATCAAAACTGCTAATTCAGAGTCCAAATAGCTTTTTAAATGAGTCCACATGACTATTTTTGAGGTTATGTTCGATTTCAACACAATTTGAGTGTTTTTCGTCTTAAAAGATTTAAAAAAAAGCAACATTTATCGCATGAAGATGTTAAATTTTGCCAATTACTAGCAATCTTGGCGACTTTAGGATAAAAATTGATTTGCTAAAATGCAAATTATTCACTAAATCCGTTCGTGATTTCTTACATAACCTAGAAAAAGATGTTTAAAATTGATTCTTCGTATAAATTGAAAGAAATCCTAAGAATTAAGATAATTAATCAATAAAGTAAGCAATCAGAAAAGGAATACAGTAAGTTTTTCAATACTTCCACTTCTTAAATATTTCTTCTGAGCTGTACACCACTTCTGATTGTATTATCTCTCCCTTGGCTTTTAGTAATTTGTGCCCTATAAGTAAGTTTCATCGATAATAAGTGACTCTACATTAAATTAACTCTCTAAAACGTTCGAAATTTCACTGAGACAATTTCCATTCAATGTTAATTTGCATGCAATCCGGATTACAAAGCATTGGGTGTGATCTTAGAAATGAATTTAGCGAAATTCATCTAGAAAATGACTGAGAAGTTTCAACTCTGTGCCAAAATTTGCCTATATCGCGGCAATTATTCAAATCACAAGCGACAAACCCGAAGCATTGAAGTCTTTCGTCTCTGCGCCGTCTGAATTCAACCAGAAATCACAGTCTCTCAATCGGGACACTGGAAAACATCTGACCGAAATCCACAGCACTAATGGTTAAATAATAGTGCAATGGCGCGAAACATAATGCGAAGATCGATCGTCTTCCGCATGGGATCCAATATGTTCACGCCGAAGATCGGCAGTAATGAGCGCAACAATTTCAAAAATGCTCAATTCCACTTGGATTTGTCACGACGATTTTCGGGCTTACTGCGCGGAAATTACATAAATTGTGTGTCTGTGCGACTCTTGAATATGTTCTGTATGCAAATAAATAGAATTCATCACCTCTCATCTCTTGCTCTGACTCTTCTGCCGCCTCCTTCACATCTTCCCGCCAAATTAAACTGCAATTCGCCGACTTTGGTATTGTGAAGTGAATCGTGAGCCTTTGAGTCTTTTTGCCTCACTTTTCCGAGTTACAATCCAAAAATTTTGCAACTCATCGCGTCGCCTCGTATTAATCTCTGTTTAGAGATTTCATGTGATAAAAGCCCATTCTTGGCGCTCAAGTTCTCTTCCTTTCATCCCATCAGTGTCTTGCCGAAATAGAGAGAACCTTCGAGATGGTGAGCAAATTGTAAATTTAATTGCCACCCACAGACAGAGTCAATTGATGTGGCAGAAAGTGCCTCAAATCGGCACATCCACTCCGTCAGTGCACAGCAATTGCTCTGTCCTGTTCGCTGGGCTCATCAAGCGGTGTGACATTAGAGGCTGAAATTGATTTTCGAAGGGGAGATGATTCACCATCGCAAGACAAACATCATTTGTCTATTTTGAGAACTGGTGCACGATGCATCGCTTTTTTGCACTCCATGTCTCACTCATAGTCATAAAATTAACATATTAACTGACATTCACCCGTCAATCCGTCAAATGGCGCAGCGCGAAATCCTCTCTCGCATGAAGCGATTAACCTCTTTCTGACACCTCCGCGCATCTCTGCATCACCCAGAGATTCACTGACCATCGCCAGCACGACAGGCGATCCTCCCGCGCCCTAATAAATGAGGATTTATCGACACGGAGGGCATCATTTCCCAATCCTCGGGCGACATTGCGCAGGGTTCTTTCACTTTCTGCCATCACACGACGAGGAATTTCTCTGGAGAGCCGCGAAGATTCCCCGGCGAGATGCAGAGATAAGCTTATGAAATCTCACCACGTGCTGCAATTGTGCAAGAGTGTTGAAAAATATAATCAAGTGGATCGCAAGAGCTGGAAAGGAGATGCCAAGGGGGAGATAATGTGCTCTTAATCTGTACCACCAAGACTGTTTCCACGATAAATCGCAAATAAAAAGAAATATCTTCAGATTTTATGCGATATTTCTGTAAAAATCCACTTTTAAACGCCATTTTGAGCGTCTTTTCCGACCATAACCTCAAAAATTTTCACCAAAAGATCCTAAAATCCTCAAATTAAAAGCTTTCTATATGATAAAATCGTTACTAAACTTAGAAAATTGCTAATTCAGAGTCAAAAACGTACAGAAAGTTGCCTAAAAAAACATTTTCCAAGTTCAAATCAATATTTTTGAGGTTATGGTCAACTTTAACACAATTTGCAGTGGTTTTTTCAGCGTCAAAGATTCAAAAAAGTAACATTTATTGAATAAAAATGTTTTATTCTGCCAATGACTAGCAATCTTGGTGACTTAAGCATAAGAATTTATGTATTAAAATGCGAATTATTCACTAAATTTGTACTTGATTCGTTACATAACCTAGAAAATTATCGTTTTCTCGTACAATCCAGAAGAAATCCCAAGAATCGGGATGATTAGTCAGTGAAAGAAGCTCACAGGAAAGGAAGTTTGTGAGTTCTTAACCTCTTCTTCTGAGCTGTACATCACTTCTGACGCTATTATCTCCCCCTTGGGCGATGCAATTGTTTGCCAATAGTCAAAAAGACATCACATAAGCAGAAGAGATCCTCGGCGACCTTCCACGGATGCTTCACATAATTGCTGACACACACATGGCAAATTGTGTGCATAGATTTCAGGCAATTGATTAGCCACATTTCGTCCTATTAATCATCATCACAGATGGTGACATGCGGCGACTGAAGCGGAATTGTGCGCGATGTGAACAGTGATTCCTATGGGATGCAAACGCCACTCTCGGGGCCATTGCAACACATGCGATCGTGGCCTGAGAGCGCCTGGTGAGGAGGTGATTGTAACATTATGGAAAGGAAAGCCCAAGAGCAGACACACCACTTAAAGAGGCATTAAAAGGCATATCCAACACAGAGGAAGAGAGTCTGCGCGAATTTATATCAAAGCAGAGAGTCTCCCATCTCACTCACATCTAATGATTGCATGCATTCTTCCCCATCCGCCACGGGATGCAACAGCGCGACTACCATTCGGAGCTACCGCGCATCTCACGTCGACAGTGACTTATGGCTTTTCTGTATAAATAGAAGACTTTCCGTACTTGCTGGATCAGTCACAAGGGAATTGTCCAAAACGATCAGTGTGCTTCTATCAAGAATCATCTCTCATTTTTCCCCATCGACTTTTGGTGCTTCAGTGCGAGAAACAATCATAAGCAAATGTGGAAGGTACGAAGCAACACACATCATTCAATTATACTATCGCGTTCTGCTCTAACCCTCGTGGCGCTGTTCTCAATACATCACTCGCCACTCGAGCTGGGATTCAGTGATTGGAAGCAGAAGAAGAAGCCCCAAACGTGACCAGTTCGTGCTGCCCTTCTTCGCCCAGAGGGTTAAACTGACAGTGATTTGAATGGAAACACAGCGTGGCGCAGTGCAGATGTCTCCCAATCTTTGCATTTTCACTGTGAATTCTCCTTCGTGAACGGGCATTAAATATTAGTGGAAATGTGGAAAAGGAATCCATCTTTGCACTTCATTTTTAAGACGTCTTTTTGAGACATCTCGATTGCGCCACTCTGCCGAAGCCTCAATTTACCTCCGATCCTTTCACTTTCAGTCTTGGACTTTGGTGGTGCTGCTGGCCACTCTGTGCGCCGTCAGTGCGCGCCCGGAGCCGCCAGTGAACAGCTACTTGCCGCCGTCGTCGTCCTATGCGGCTCCAGGCCAGCAGGGCGGCTCCTCCTTCGGCGGGGGCGGCGGCGGAGGGGGCTTCGGGGGTCCTTCCTCCTCCTATGGCCCTCCCGGGCAGACTGGCAGCCAGGCTGGAGGCTTCGGTGCTCAAGCTGGTGGCGGCTACAATCCCACCGGAGGCGCCGGCGGATTCGGAGGAGCCTCTCAGAGGCCATCATCCTCCTACGGCCCACCCGGTCAGACTAATGGCTTTGGGGGTGGTTTTGGAGCACAGCCCGGATCGCAGAGGCCTTCGTCGTCTTACGGAGCACCAGGACAACCAGGCACCAATGGATTCGGTCAACAAGGAGGCCCAGGAGGATCTTTCGGGGGCGCTCAGCGACCGTCTTCCTCTTATGGTGCTCCTGGTCAGACTCCTGGAGGCTTCGGACAAGGCGGACCGGCAGGTGGCGCCCAGAGACCTTCATCTAGCTACGGCCCTCCAGGCCAGGACGGCGGATTTGGCGGCCAAGGCGGACCGGGAAGCTTCGATCCTCGCGGCCAGAGACCTTCAAGCTCATATGGCGCTCCTGGACAGCCCGGAGGCGGTTTTGGAGGCCAAGGTAAGATCTCAAGAGACTTCGTAAATATTCATCTGACTCTATCGCCGTTTCAGGTCAACCTGGACAAGCTGGAGCGCCCGGCTTTGGCGGATCACAGCGTCCCTCCTCATCTTATGGCCCACCTGGTCAGGGCGGACCCGGTGGATTCGGCCCTGGCGCACAGTCTGGCGGTCCCGGAGGATTCGGCGGTGCGCAGCAGCCGTCGTCCAGCTACGGTCCTCCTGGACAGAGCGCTGGTGGGTTTCAAGGAGCACTCGGGTCTGCTGGCGGCTTTGGTGGTCCCGGACAGCGCGGTGGATTCGGTGCTGGCCAGACTCCTTCATCATCTTACGGAGCGCCAGGTCAAGGTGGCCCAGGTGGCTTTGGGGGACCCGGAAGCCAGCGTCCCTCCTCCAGCTATGGCCCACCAGGACAGTCTCCCGGCCAGAGAGGGCCAGGATTCGGTGGCCAGGTCCCCTCATCAAGCTACGGAACTCCTTCGTTCGGCGCTGGCGGCAGTCAGGGCGGAACTCAGGGCGGAAGCCAAGGCGCTTTCGGCGCCGGCGGCCAGGGTGGCCAAGGGTTCGGTGGTGATCAGGGATACCCACGCGGAGGACCCGGAGGCTTCGGCCCAGGATCCGGTGGTGCCAATCAAGGAAGCAATGTAACGAAATATCACATCACTGATCCCACTTCTGATTCATGTCTTACTGTGTCGCTAATATTGCGGAATGTCTTTGCAGGAGCCAGCGAAGTATGACTTCAACTACCAGGTAGAGGACCGTCCCAGCGGTTTGTCCTTCGGTCACTCTGAGCAGAGAGACGGCGACTACACAAGCGGTCAGTACAATGTCTTGCTTCCAGATGGTAGAAAACAAATAGTAGAATATGAGGCAGATCTAGGCGGTTACCGACCACAAATCAAGTATGAAGGTACAGAGTGAATCCTCAACTATGCGTTGGGGGACACTGAAAGTGAATGTCTATTCGTCAGGTGATAGTTCCGGGACAGGCGGTGCCGGAGGATATCCTTCAGGAGGCCCAGGTGGTCCAGGAGGTCCAGGAGGAGCTGCTGGCTATCCGTCAGGCGGTCCAGGAGGAGCTGCTGGCTATCCCTCAGGAGGCCCAGGCGGTCCAGGTGGTCCAGGAGGAGCTGCTGGCTATCCGTCGGGCGGACCAGGAGGAGCTGGAGGCCAGGCTGGATATCCAGGAGGCAGTCTAGAGGGTGGGGATGCTGGCTATTCCAGAGGAGGACCGAGTGGAGCCGGTGGATTCGGTGGCCAAGGCACGTCGGGCTTCGGGGGCGGATTCGGCGGTCCAGGTGGTGCAGGTGGTCAAGGTGGACAAGCTGGCTTCGGTGGCGGAGATGCTGGATATCCTCGCGGAGGTCCTGGAGCCGGACAGACGGGTTTCCAAGACGGCAGAGGCGCTTTCGGCGCAGCTTCGCAGCCAGGAAGCCGTGGTGGATTCGGCGGCGGCGGTGGCGGCGGCCCAGGAAGTCGAGGAGGCTCGCCAGGTGGCTTCCCCGGCGGAGCTGATGGCTACCCAAGAGACAATCCCTCGAATCGAGGCTCCGGCTATTGAGCCCATACATCAACTGCCAACCACCGATGATCACCCTGCAAATCCCCTCATTTCATGTGTAAATAGTGCAACAGATTGTAATAAATGGAATAAACGGAGATTACCATTCGTCATCTCTGAAGCCCACTCCTTCCCATGGGCAACAATGTGCGTTGAAAAGTGCGTACGCGCGAGAACACGACATTCAGCATCACTTCTAGACTCACTTTCAAACACGCGCTGCTTCAGGGTCGGATGAGCGCACTTTCGCGCGCCAAGCAAAGAAGTATTAATCAAGCTACAATAAACTCATAATTAATCCTTCTCATCGTCTCAAGGAGATGATCACTTGCTGACAGAAAATTTGATGAAAAGATAATGTGTCACTGAGGAATTTCTCAGGAGGCAAAGAGCATAAAAGGGGAAATTGTTTCAAAAATTGTGCAACAGACGCAAAGTGAGCGATGGGATGCAACAAGTCATCCCACGTACTATCATCCTAATAGTTCAGCTCACAAGAGACGCACACGCTTTCACAGAGTGCGGCTGTTATGAAGAGAAGTCAGATATTCCTAAGACGAAGGCATTTGTAGCATTAAACGCCATTCATTCATCAATTTTCCCGCAAATATTCATTCAGAAGACACAGAAAAAGCATTGAAAATCATTGTCATTGTGTCTGTTAATTACATGCATTTCTATCTGATCACAATCTAATCCAGGTTTGCCTGTCTCAAGGAGTTAAACCTTTTCAAATGCTTCAATTTCAGATTGTAAGAACTAATTTGAAATGTTCTAGGATTCGTTCATAATATATTTCTATATTCATTTCCTAGTTTTGTCGCTGGAAAATGCTTACAAAAATTCTAACCAAATTGTGAGGTTATGAATGCAGCTCAGAAATCTTCCTTTGACTAAATTAAACCCTTTCAAACCCATAAATGGGAAATTATGAATGTTTCTACTAGATACTGAGTTTTATTTAACACTTTGAAGCTCAAACCACGGAAATAACTAAGCAAAGAGACTTTATTTATACTAAAGTTATGTTTTTGAGGTTATGATTGATTACTAAGCTTTTATTCTTTCAATATGAGGTTATTTTGAACACAAATGCTCAGTTCTGATAAAAAAAATGAGAAATATTCCGAGTTAAACACAAATTTTTATGATCTTAAAGGTTATTTTAGTATCAAAATCTGTTTTAAATCAGTTACATAACCTAGAAAAGCATTAAAATCCATTTTTCTAGGCCAAGAAAGTAGAAAATGCCTCAATTTGTTGCAACAGAAGCTTCTGCAATGCAAATATTTGATATATTTGACCACATCCAATTCCCAACACTTTCTTAAAAGCTGTACACCACTTCCGACTGTAATATCTGCCCCTTGTCTGATCCTTTAACCTATCAAGAACACTATTTTGTATATCAATTGTTGCTGCTTTTTTTTTTTACTCAAAATGTAGAAAAAAACCACTGAAAGTGAAAGAGTAAAAGCAAATTCCGAGCAACACGGCATCTCAAGACCATTTGTACTCATCACTGTGATATGAGCAACGTTTGCTCCACATTTTAATGCCTAATCTGTTCGGCTGACTGAAAAGACTTGAAGATTTGTGCTCATCGTTAGACATCAACCTGAGATCGTCTGCGCAGAACTTACGTCATCTCGAGGAGAGCGTTTGCAAAATATAATGACATCTCCCGTCATCCATGGTGATGGATTGTGTTGCAAAACGATCTGAACTGATTCAATTTACAGCTCCGAATCCTTCGTCAACAATTGCTGTCCCAAGAAAGTGCATTGAATTTTTGGCCCCGCAAGACGCCAAAGCTGTTGGCAATAGATTGAACAATTTCTGCCTTTGCACAATTCCACAATTAATACCTCAAAATTAATGTGTGTACATTAAAGATCTCACACGGCAAATTGAAACATTATAAACCGCTTAACATTGTTCATTGTCTGACGCCTAAATTGAAACCTTTCAAGCGTGTAAAACAATTTCATTTCAGATTGGTGCAAGAATCGTCTTCGCTGTGGAACAGCCAAAAAAAAAGAAGAGATTCAAACAACGCGCTGATGCTCTAATTGCCATCGTGAAAAAAGGTGTTCGTTCAAAGTGATCCGAAAGAGACTTCTGCACACCATTGTTTGCCTCTCGATGGCACTTGCACAACAATGGCAATTAATAGTGGGCAGGAAAATTCATATTTCGCGACCATCTGCAGGGGTGAATTTTGCGTGCGAATCTTGTGAAATCACTGAACGATAAGATCGCGGATTTGTGGGTCAATTGAGCGCAGCTATTGAGGCACAAAATGCATTGGACAAATTCAAATTGATAGGAAGCAATAAACCATTCTGCATCAAGCCAAATTTGGCCCTCTTTGGCCTGGGAAAATCATCCTACACTCCACAATAAATTGCATGCAATCGCCAAGGTTGATGCGCGACTTCATGTCATCGCTGTGCGATCATTTTTCTCTCATCTCCAAATGCCCAACCACAATATTCATGTGGAGCAACAACGGAATTGAGATCATCTCCACGCGTGATTTCGCTATTGAGCATCTCACAGTGCGCGATCTTGGGTTATTAAGAGTGTTTGCACGGTGGATGGATGGCAAGTGGAAAAAAAAGAGCGTCTTGTTAATGAATAAAAAGTGAATTAAATTACACGCTGAGATCGCCAACTCGTAAATGCACTTTAGAATTGTGGGCTGCGGAGAGCAATAAAATGGCCATCGGAATCATTAACGGCGGAATTGGTAATTTTAAAATCATTTATTGATCATAAAGTAAAGCTGGGAAGTCGCGCGATTGCCATTAAGCGCCTCACCATTAATCTACCTTTTGTGCAATATAATTGTTAGATAGTCGCCTTGTGTGTGCGACTCGTGAATGGATGGCATGTATTTATCATCTCCAATTGGTGTGATCACTTTCCCATTTTTCCACTCACAGGCCGTCCAAAATGTGCATCCCAAGAGATCGTGAACAATCAAATTCACACGCCGCGCACCACCCACCGCCTCTCTTGCATTATCATTATCACATCGCGATATTGTCATAATATCGCGAGTAAGAGGTTCGATCACTGCGATAATGTATTGCCGCGGGATGCTTCCACGATTGCGGATTCTGTGGCACATCAAATCACTTCCTGGAGACGTGGTAGAATGGATTCGATTGGAAAGTTCCACAAACTGCAAAGAAGACTGCCTCTACTTTGGGAGCAAGTTTGGGAGCTCAAGCAGCAGAGCAAGGGGCAGATATTACGGTCGGATGTGGTGTACAGCTGTCAAGGAAGTGTTAGGAATTAGATGTGGTAAAATATATCAAATATTTGCATTACAAAAGCTTCTGTTGAAACAAATTGAGACGTTTCCTTTTTTTGGCCTAGAAAAAATCGATTTTATTGCTTTTTCTAGGTTATGTTTTTGATTTAAGACAAATTCTAATGACTAAATAATCCTCAAAATCACCAAATTTATTTAATAAATAGGAACAATTCTCTTTGGTTTGGCAAAGTTTAGAATTACTGTTTAAAAAACCACTTCAGATTGGTTAAACATTAGTAGAAAAACAGCATAAAAGGCGATCATAACCTCAAAATTATCACTTTTGTATAAAAGAATGTCCTTTTGCTTAGATTTTTCCGCAGTTTGACTCTTTAAAGTGACAAATTCAACCTCATTATCCTGCAAAAAACATTTTGTATGTAAAAGAGTTCAAGAAGGATTTTTCTAAGTCAGATTCATAACCTCACAATTTGGTTAGAAATTTTCTAAGCATTTTCTGGTGACAAAACAAGACGGAAATTGTTCTTGAACAAATCCTGGGACATTAAGATCAGTTCTTAGAAACCGAAATCTAAGCATTTGAAGAGGTTTTCACTTCGTAAGACAGAAAAACCAGGATTAGATTGTGATAAGTGAGAAATGCATGCAAGAAAATGCCCTTAAAGACGTTGAGAAGTATCTGAAGTGTTGAAGATTCTGCACAGAAGCTGTGAAAGTGTCAGAAAGTGGTGTACAGATGCCACACTATCTCCCCCTTGCCACAGAGTGCTGAAATCATTTTTGTGATTGTTGGCGGAGTGACGTCAGCACTTGGGAACAAAGCCAACTAAAGGGTCATTTTGAATTGTGAATATCATTAAAATGATCGTGTTTTGTGCGGCAAAGAGCCGTGCGTGGACGGAAGCAAGCGCGAGATTTGTATCGCAATGGGAAGAAAAACCATCGACTTGTGCATGGAAAGCGTTAGAGAAGAAGCGTCGCCTGATGAGCTTCTCGGTGTTCTCAGTGGGAAGCTTGAGACGCTGTCCCGAGTGATTTCTGCGCGGCCAAGTGATTGTCGCTGCGGCAAGAAGTGAGTGTGATCACGAGGCCGAGGAGCACACGTTGCGGAATTTGATGTGTAACGACGCATAATGGCCTTTCAGTGGTCTCAAAAGGAGGTGACTCTCGACTGTACACAGCACAAATAAAGTGTAATTTTAATGCATAATGCTGATCTTTAACATATTGCGATTTCGCCTTCCTCACCCAAGCTCGTCACTCTCTTTTTTTTGCTGCCGCCCGCCGCTTCGGGAACTGCAGAGGATCTTCAAAACACGAGTGCAGCGCGACACAAAAAAACGCCCGTCTTTGAAACCATGTTACATTTCCAAAGTTGATTTATGACCCAAATGGACGTCAATACTCAATGACTGGCGCTGTCGCTGGCGTGGAAGATCACCGTGAGATCTTAACTTGTGGTTTTTGCATCTAATGGCCCCAGTCAATTTGTTGTGGTCTTGAATCGCCGAGCCGCGCAAGAAGGATAAGTAATTGCGGAAGCCTCAATTAGCACTGAGAATATTTGTCTTCGCTAATGGAGACAAAGTTGAACAATAGGCGTCTAATTTTTCCTTCTGATCGCGCTCTTTTGTGGGTTCAATGATGGACAATTACTCGGCAAAATTATCTTCACCGCCTACACGGAAGCGGTCCTTGAGTTCTCAATTCAAGT